ATAAGCCATTAGGTCAATGGAAGTGGAATGCGTGCCGCATCCCACAACTTATCCTTTATGAGCATACAACCTTTGCTGTCGTGAGATAGCAGAACTCTGACCTGCTTCGTGTCTTTTAGTCAGCTCAAACCGCTACCGTGCCCAACTCACCTGCAATATCCGGGAAAAGTTCTCTGATGTAGAGGTAGGGTTTACTGTGTGAGGCTACAGTGAGCATTTGAAGGCATGGCGTTTCCGGATGTTTGATAGACGCGTGAACTCGAACTTTCCACTGAAATATCATGACTGGTAGGGCAGAAAATTAAGAGCAGAGAGTAGAAGAGAACAAGGAAGTACTTCTTCGACGCTGGTGTACTTGCAAATCCCACACTGGTAAGGTCGTCCGCTGCTGTGCATCGTCTTTACGTGATCTTCGATGCTGTGCTTGTTGAGGGCCACCTAAAGAAACAAGGGTAACTCACCAATCATTTGAGAACAGTTTAAAGTAGCTCTTGCGAAAGATAGTGCAGATACCATATTTCGACAAAAGGCCATACACAATTTACTATGCGAACAAACTAATTAACAATGGCACGAAAGCTCACCATAAGCCTGCACGCACTGCACTGCACAGGCGTGTTCAGATTGCTCTCATCGATTACCGTATACCATTCGGCGCCGGGATCTCGGAGTTCCGTCTGTGTCTGTTCCCCGCCATCCTTTTTCATAGTTGGGAAGATATTTGCATACTGGTGCGCCTTAAGATTGCACAATTGAGAAAACTCAAGCTATCAGCAGAATGGATTTGCTCACCCAGTCAATCGAAGGATAACAGTGGGCGAGGTAGCGCTGAGCTTCTGGCACAGTGACCGAGTTGCGATTGTCTCGAGGAATTTCACCTTGCAGTTCCGGATGTGAGGTGCGAATGTGCGAGCGCACCTGAAAGTTTCAAACAGTTCAAGATAACCACTGATTCTTCCCGCCACAAGAGAATAATCGCTATGTTCTCCTTCCCTCTTCTAAGCCAAGAAATGTAGAGGGCCAAGAGTACATTGAATGTTTAAGCTCCACCCAAGCAAATCAGTCACACTTTCCAGGGTTAGTTCACATCTCATCAAAAGCATACAGCCCATATCCCGGTATTGAGTTGGGAGTGCCCCGGATTTGATTGTAAAAAACTGGAAGCGGTACAACTGATAATGCCGCAACCGGTCGGGGCAATTTCAATAGGGATGAGCCCACCCGCGACGTTTCCAGCCACCAGTTGCTATTTCCCAAATCGACTCGTTTAAACCGATTACTGACTGTAGAGCAAGCGCAGTAGTAGGCGGTGTCATTCCGCCGTCCCTCCGCGCCTCCCCTGACACCCTGCCTTTTGACTGGCGCGTTATCACTATCATAACTGGCGCATGGTTGAGCATAACGCGAATAGCGGCGTGGACCGAGAGAATGCGCCCCCAAGTCAGCCGCACGTGATAGCTTCCACACACGCAGAAGCTATTTGGGCCGCGGCCACAAATGAGCCCGTACACACGCTGTCTCCATGTGTCCACGGGTAAGAACATAAATTTCATTACCGCATGGCTGTTGTAGGTAGGCGGAGGTGATGCAATGACAAAAGGCACGCTTACCTCTTCACGGTCCGGGGGCACTTCAACCCCGGATCGGTTCTCGCCCCACCCAACCAAGCCCGCTTGTCTCTGGAGACGGTAAGTTGGTACTTGTGCTTCGACTGGCCCCGCACGTCATTGTAAAGGCCACATCGCATTCAATAAGTCACTACGATTTTGAATGGAATCAGAATATCTGCAAAATCCCAAAAAGGGGCTTACTAGCGACGAAGACTTTACCGTTTTCTTACGGCTAATGCATTGCATGTCATAGAAATTGGATCTAGATATCCGATCAACCTCGTTAAAACCCTGTTTGAGAGGCTATAGGATACTTTTTCAGAGTAAGAAGTACCCACAAGGGTTTGTGCGCATGAGTTTAGTTCCGGAGTGCCAACACGGATGACACGATCATTATCAACACCACGATTTTGACAGCTTGTCAGCAGTGCTGCGGGAATGGTTGAGGGAATTGAGCATTGGACCTCCACTACATCCAGCAAGTATAAGGAAAGCTCACCCTGGTGAAATCCGCGTGATCGAACTCACAATCGCCTTTCGGGCATTTCCACAGCGGTACTGGTGTGTGGATCTTCAAAGCATGAGCAGTCAGATTGGCGATTCTGAAACGAGCGGCTACAGATTGGGAGAACACTTGCTTTCCATGAAATTCATGAAGAAACTTACTTTTTGCAGCTGACTGTAATGCCACACAAACGACACTTGATCTGTCCAGGGCCAGGGATCTCTGGAGCAGGCGATGTGGCTTTTGGTGGAGGGCTGGAAAAATTAACTCAGATATGATCAGTAAGACGGCATGAAATGAGACCGAACCACTTACCCCGTTGATCACGCGCACATCTTTGGCAGGTTCTCCTTTACCGAACAGCGTTGAGAGAACGGTATTGAAGTGATCCATCGATGCTGGCGGTGGCGTGGCCGATTCGATTGAAGCACAACGAGACGATGCTGTCTGACCGTCATCCGGATTTGAAAATCCACCAGCAGGGGTTTCAGAGCTGAAACCATCGAAATCTTTAGTAGAAATTCTGAAGAAAGCACTATCTGCAAACTTGATTGGACGGGAAATGATGAAGAGCTTGAAGCTCATTTCTGGGTAGGCTTAATTCCACCTGGATGGAAAAATGGCAGCAGGCTACAAACTCAAGTGCTACTTAGAGGGAGAATGACGAAAAAGCGAGGTGAAACGGTCAAAAACACATGCAAGGAAAGCGTTTGTACTTATGACCCAATTTTGGAAGTTTCCCGTTGGCATCGTGCCAATGATTTCTACGGTAGATGCGGCTCCTTGTATGTACTCATATATCCATGCAGCACGCAGCTGCTCCGTATCAATCCCTTCGCTTCATATTGTACTTCGCGAAATGAAGCGACA